CAATATAAGTAATATGCTTATATAAAATACGACTTAAAAGAATAATTAGAATGAGGGTTTGTGGAGAATGTAGTAAATTTATAGTTGAATTCACGAATTGACTAAAACTAGACTATCATTGAAAACCTGGAAGAAGTAAGCAACCGTAACTTCCTAACATTGACTCCTCGGAAGTGTTCGTCCACGATCCTGTACGTGGGACTCGAACCCAGGACCTTTGGTCTCTCACCCGAACGCATGATCCCGGGTTCGAGTCTCGCATGTGATCTCGTGGACTGATGGGGCTTTTATATTGGGACGAAACGGCCGTCTGATGTTTTCAAGTTTTCAATGATGGTCTAGCTTAAATCGACTCATAAATTCAACCATTATAAGTATAAGATATTTTTTATTAAAACTCTATGTTGCTACAAATTTCTTTAGTAACTTTAAGTAATAAAATATAGGATTAACATGATACTTGTATTCAGGAAATTAAGTATTTTGAGTTTTTGTATCATATAAATCAACGCGTACGTCCGATGAATATATCCATTTTTAGATCTGTTTCATTGGACAGGCCTTTAGAAATGAAACCGTATAGTTTGTCATATGGTTAACTAACATTTACGCAATTTGGTGTCTCGATTTTAATCAACATTATATGGTATTATCTTACCATAATCTTAATCTATTTATAAACAAATGAATAATAATTTGCTTCAAGATCTTTAGCACATGGAATCCTATAAATGTATAAGATCAAAGTCCTTGTTAAACATCATCATATTCAAAGCAATTAGTCCCTTTTATAAATTTCGATAGAGCAATGAGAAGACGGAGTTGATCTGAATAATGTGATGTATTTGAGTTATACATTTCGAACAATCTGGTCACAAACATACTTGTCAAGGCATTTTATATGAAAATTAATGAAGGTCAATTAAATGAAGGTCCGATTAAACAAAGTAATAAGGGAGAGAGAAAAAATTAACATCGTATAGAAAGAGTTGGGAATTATCGAATTACCTAAGGCCACAAAACGGCTTCAGGATTACCAGGGTAAATTCAAGGTTACCGACAAATGATTTTTGTACAGATAAAGGGGGTTTAAATTTACGAATAGCCAATGCTCCGATAAACTTGGGAATTCGTCTTTGATTTTGATACAAAGTTTTAAAATCGTAATCGATGTCAATTATGTGTCTCGTTTCAGTTATGTGCTTTTCTATCGAAGAACATGGTTTTCTACTTCCCATGTTGATCGGGACATTTGAAATTAACTTGTTTTGAAGCCATCTCGGCACATTTTCCATAACCCTTGATTGCATTGTTCGATTACTCCTCTCAATGTATTTGTGTTCACACAAACATGTAAATTGATAAATGCAATGAGATGTGAAGTCCGCCTGTAGCTCTTCTAGATATACTGCCAGTCCCAAGCCCAGGTAAAGGGAAAGGGTTGGGCGTGGGGATAGCGACCACTAACCAGAAAAAATAATTCAAACCATTTAAACTTTGCCCTGAGAGCCAGAAGGTCTTCATTTAGAAGAAATATGACGCCTCATGGTGAAAGCTGAGTTCCTCCGGAAGCCACGAGGCCGATACCCCTTCTAACAACCACAGCAACAATATTTATAGGTACATGGAACGTCCGGACAATTTGGGAGACCCGGAAGACCAGTCAAATAGCAACAGAAATGAGGAGATACAACTTGGCAGTACTAGGAAAAAGCGAAACCCATTGGGTCAAGCTGGACAACAAAGACTAGATACGGGAGAGATGCTGCTAAACTCCGGTCACGAAGAGGAAAATGCTCCACACACTCAGGGAGTTGCTCTAATGCTGTCCAAAGTAGCACGAAATGCACTTATAGGATGGGAATCTCACGGATCCAGAATCATCAAAGCATCATTCCAAACAAAGAAGGAGGGAATCACAATGAATATTATCCAATGTTATGCACCCACCAATGATAGTAACGACGACATTGAAGATCAATTCTATGTGAGGCTGCAATCAATCATAGAAAAGTGCCCAAGAAACGACCTCCCCATTCTGATGAGAGATCTAAACGCCAAAGTCGGAATAGACAACATCGGATATGAAGATATCATGGGACAACATGGATTGACTGGGAGAGAGAGACGAAAATGGATAAAGATTTACAAATCTGTGTGCATTCAACAAATTGGTCAAAGGTGGCACAATATTTCCACACAAACGTATACATAAAGCTACATGAATCTTACTGGACCACACCACAGAGAACCAAATAGATCATATTTGCGTCAATAAAAAGTTCCGAAGCACAATGGAAGATGTGAGAACCAAGAGAGGAGCTGACGTAGCTGCAGACCACCACCTAGTTGTGGCCAATTTAAAACTGAAGCTAAAGAAGAACTGGACAACTCGACAAGCAGCACTACAAATGTTCAATACAACCTTCCTTCGAGATGCTGACTTACTCAATGAATTCAAGATAGCTCTCAACAACAGGCTCTGAGCCATACAGGATCTACTGAAAGAATAAGAAACTACCATAGCGGACAACTGGAAAGGTATCAAAGAAGCATTAACTTCAACGTGTCAAGAGGTTCTGGGCCTCAACAAGCATCATCATAAGGAATGGATCTCTACAGAAACACTGGACAGGATCAAAGAAAGGGAGAACAAGAAGACAGCAATAAACAACAGCCGAACACGAGCAGAGATAGTCCAAGCACAAGCTGAGTACATAGAAGCAAACAAGCAAGTGAAGAGGAACATTGGAGCCGACAAGTATAAATACGTGGAAGAACTAGCAACGACGACGGAAAAAGCTGCAAGAGAAGGAAATATACGATACAACGAAGAAACTAGCGGGGAGATATAGTAAATCAGAGAGACCGGTCAAAGACAGAGAAGGCAGGCCAATCACTGAAATTCAACAACAGCGGAGCAGTTGGGTAGAATATTTCGAGGAACGCCTGGATAGGCCGGCTCCAATTAATCCACCGGACATCGAAGCAGCACACACAGACATTCCTATAGACGTCAATCCACCAACGACGGAAGAAATCACAATGGCCATCAGACAAATCAAGAGCGGGAAAGCAGCAGGACCCGACAACATACCAGCTGAAGAACTAAAGCCAGATATCAAATTAACTACAAACAGGCTTCACCTTCTATTGAAAAAGATTTGGGAGGAGGAACAAGTGCCGATGGACTGAAAAGAAGGACACCTCATCAAGATTCCAAAGAAAGGATATCTGAGCAAATGTGAAAACTACAGAGGCATTACACTACTGTCAATACCAGGGAAAGTCTTCAACAGAGTGTTGCTGAACCGGACGAAAGATGCAGTAGACGCTCAACTTTGAGATCAACGTGCTGGATTCCGTAAAGATCGATCGTGCACGGACCGAATCGTGACACTACGAATCATCGTCGAACAATCAATTGAATGGAACTCGTCATTGTACATCAACGTCATTGATTATGAAGAAGCATACGACAGTGTAGATATGAGGACTTTATGGAAAATTCTTCGACACTACGGAGTTCCTGAGAAGATTGTCAATATTATCCGGAACTCACACGATGGACTGCAGTGCAAGGACGTGCATGGAGGACAGCTGACAGACGCATTCCAAGTAAGGACCGAAGTCAGACAAGGCTGTCTATTCTTTCCCTTCGTCTTTCTTCTGGCAGTCGACTAGATTATGAAGACCTCGACATCTGAGGGAAAACACGGCATACAATGGACAGCTCAGAATCAATTAGACGATTTGGACTTCGCATATGACCTAGCCCTCCTATCGCATACACACGAAACAATGCAGATAAAGACAGACAGTGTAGCAGCAGTCTATGCATCAGTAGGCCTCAGCATACACAAGGGGAAATCCAAGGTCCTCAAATACAACACGGAGAAAAGCAGTCCAATCACTCTTGATGGCAGAGCTCTGGAAGATGTAGAATCCTTCACATAACTGGGAAGCATAATCGATGAACAAGGAGGTTCAAATGCAAACGTAAATGCAAGGATTGGCAAGCGAGGGCCTCATTCCTACTATTGAACAAAATATGGAACTCAAAATAACTTTCAACCAATATCAAAGTGAGAATCTTCAATATCAACGTCAAGGCAGTTCTACTGTATGGAGCTGAAACTTAGAGAACTACTACAACCATCATCAAACATGTACAAGTATTTATAAATGGTTGTCTACGCAGCATACTCAACATTCATTGACCGGATACCATCAGTAACAGTGTACTGTGAGAGAAAACAAATCAACTTCCAGCTGAAGAAGAAATTAGGAAAATACGATGGAAATGGATAGGACATACATTACGAAAATCATCAAACTGCATCACGAGGCAAGCCCTAAATTGGAATCCTGAAGGGAAGCGAAAAAGAGGAAGGCCAAAGAACACATTACGTCGTGAAATAGAATTCGATATGAAAAGGATGAATAACAACTTGAAAGAGCTGGAAAGGAGTTTCCAGGACAGGGTTGGATGGCGAATGCTAGTGGGCGGCCTATTATCCATCACGTGGAGTAACAGGCGTAAGTATAAATCTTATGTTCTTTACTTCTTGGCATTAGTTAAATTTCATTGTTAACTAGATGAAATAACATGACAATAAGGTACATTCTATAAAGTAGTGATATGTAACAAAGAAGAAGTCTATATCTTTCCTTATATAATAAACATATGAATAACTTGTTTCTATAACAATTATTCAAAATAGGTCTCATTATTCATAAACCATTTTTACTGAAAATATTATCAAACCCAAAATGAAAATGTGTTCTTTTCCCATAATTTAAATAAATAAATAAAAAAATTGGTCGAAACAATGAATGAAGTATTGTTAGCTACAATCTAAGCTACATTGAAGAAAAAACAAAACTCAACCAATTCATGCATTAAATTAAATATATTTCTATAATCAGTTATTATCATAATTTCTGTTTTGGTCAATAAACTGATTTCCAATGATTAATTATTTATTCTCTCTGTAATAATGTATAGTAGTAGATTGTTTTCCAAATCTTTATTCTATAGGTAAACACAAACTTATCTTTCGATCCATCTATCTATTTATCTATCTATCCATATATATATCCAGTGGTAGTTACAAATTGATAAGATAATATAAATACAACAATAACAAGGCATCTAATAAACTATGACATATGTCAAAAACAAATATTTGAAAGTGAGTAAAACCCAATTGCAGAATAATACTATTCATATATATAAATGGTTGTGGATATTTGTGTGTATCCATGTATACGTACAACAGTATAGATATAATTCACGTGGACTTGTGACAGGTTATAAACAGAAAAATAAATTATGAGAAGGAAAAAAAGACGAAGAAATATTATTATTGTAGATTTTCTTTACATCATTCATTCATTCATTCATTATTGTTATATATATATAAAAGTTTCATTTTGTTCCCTTACTATTTTGCATTTTTGTTTATTCTATCTACTACTACTACTACTACTACTACTACTACTACTACTACTACTACTACTACTACTACTACTACTACTACTACTACTACTACTACTACTACTACTACTACTACTACTACTACTACTACTACTACTACTACTACTACTACTACTACTACTACTACTACTACTACTACTACTACTACTACTACTACTACTACTACTACTACTATTTAAAGTGAAACACATTGATTTAGTCAGTAAAATGAGGGATAGAAAAAGTGAGTGACTGAGCGAGTGAGTGAGTGAGTGAAAGTGAGCAATGATATATTAGTTGTTGTTTATCAAGTTACCAATCAATCATTATTCATTGTTGTTTTATTTTCCTCCAAAAAAATATACATGAAATACAGTTGAACGTTTAAATGATATATGCATGTACATATATATGGATAGCCATTAGTTAAGGATGGATATTTATTTGATGATTCAAATTTTGATAAAAAAAAGTTAATTATTTATTTGATTCTTCTGAAATTTATTATCATGATTGATTGGTGAAATTAGCCTGAGACTATATTTATGAAGATCATCAAAAATGACTGTCAATAAAGATTTTGTGTTATACAAAATGTGAGTTAACATTGAAAATAATAAACTAGACATGTCATCTAAATATCCTACGATCCATCTTAGCTGATGTAGTATCTTAATACTTCTTACATTTTTATTTCTTCTTCTGTTGATGTTTTATTTACGGTGAGAAATATCTTCATAGTTCCAGTAGTTTTAACTTATGATTTGTTACATTGTCTAAAGAAGTTCATTTCATTATAGACGATAGTTGATCGATGAACTCAGCTACATATTAACAAATGTTTCATATTTTAATTGAAGTATCAGGTAGATTGGTCTAAATAACTATTTTTCGTCATGTTAATACATCATTTGGTAAATTTGATCAATATACAGTTATAAAAGGTTATACTATGAGTCTGATTGACTAGAAAACAAATTTTAATGAACATTTACAATGAGTAACGCTAAAGTGACCTTGAGAGTGTCTACCTTCTTACTAAGGCTAAATGAGGGTTATAAATCAGTTTGAAGAATAAGGATTAATGATTTTCAGTTGACCGTTAGGGTTAGGAATTAAATTTAGGGTTTTCATCACGAACTGATATCAGCTATAATGTCAAGATTATTTAGCCGAATGGGTATATATATATATATATATATATATATATGTATATATATATATATATATATATATATACAGGGAGAGAAAGAGAGAATCCCAAAAACTGTATCACCAGATAACTCTTTGATAAAATGGTATGCACAAGTTATGGATCATATTTAAAGAATTTGTAATCTATCATTGTTGATATTCAGGACTGGGATTAGCTGAAGATTCTCATACTAATGATTCCTGGTTCTAAGCTCTATAGTTTCATTTATTTTCAATCTGGATACTACTTACCATTAGTATAGGGGTTGTAGAACCAGTTGAATTCTAATGAGATCACAATCTAAAATCCGGAAGTAATGGACAGCCGTTTCGCTCTAATATGAGACTTCTCAGTAGTGCTTATTCATTTTCGCTGACTGATTAAGGTAAAATTTTTATACCGTTGAATCTTGGGTTAGTGGTACAGAGGTTAAGCGTTAATGCGCGAGATCAAAGGCTGTAGTGTTGGTTGCTATGTTAAGCCCACATAGATTATTATAGTTTCTGGACAGGCCAGTATATTCATTCTTCTTGAGTCACATTTTGACCTTGTTAATTATTCACTTATCATTCTTGACTTTTTATATGAGCGGGTGGGTACACTTCTTATCCTACTCATCACATATCTGTAAACTATTTTAGTCTGACTATAAATATCGATTAACGCTTGATTAAATTGAGTTGGCTAACATGCCTTCTCCGCTGCACATCCTTTCGTTTTACGTCGCTCTCCCATCTTCACTTTATTCTCTGTAATTCTCCGATTGTTTGTTCCGATCAACAAGTGTATAAAATATATGTATTCAAACATCGATTCTCGTATTTGACACGATTTAAGTCGATACTTTTTATACGAGGATAGCCAGGATGTATATTTATACATATATATGTATACACATACATATATGTATGTATATACAACAATCAGTCATACGATCCAACTTGAGTCAGATCCTGGACCACAAGGCTCTCAGTTCTATCCCTGGTGTAAGAGTCTGAAGCGCACCGTTGAGGAGTCACAAATTAAAACGTAATGGCTGTCCGGTACGTTCAGGTTTTCAGTGATTATCTAACTTAGATCTTTTTGTGATCTCAGTATTATATGTCACCTTTAGTAACATAAATCCAACCATTATTATGATTTTTGAACATTACTTTTCACCTATCTCCTCTTTTAATGATAAAGCACTCTTATCTTTATTTTATAGTGTTTTCTTTTCCCAAAAAAATTGGGTCATTTAATAAAGAAGCTTTCATCATAATTCTGGATAACGTCGAACAAAGTTTTAATTAAATCATCCACTTCAGAAACTACAAACTAGTGGAAGTTTTCAAGTGAACTCAAAATCTTCTACATCACTTCAATATAAATTCTTATTGTTTCTTAGTACTTTATAAATGGTTTCTTTTTTTGTCGTTACTTAATTAAATAAACCATTGTAGGGCCAGTGAAATGTCACTGAGCCCTAGCCAAATCATCCGGCAGTTGGATCACTGAATGTCGAACAGATCAACGCTCCCTGCCAAGGTCATGTACAAGCAACGCGCATTAGTTAATCATACGCCATGGACTGGCCCATGCGGCAGTGGTCTTACTTTCGCTTGTATCTACTTTAACTAATATATTTCTGTAATAACGTCCTTTGTGTTGTACAGTCTTCAAAGCATCTATAGTACCTTGTTACGTCAATGGGGGTAGTCCACGTAAGGTGCTGACCACGAGGTGTGATTTCGACGTTAGTTGGTTCGTCACACTATTCACGTCTAACTCGAGTCGGCCTCCAATCATTTCGACATAGATCATCTACGTTGGTGATCTACACCATCTTTGCATATGAATGATTGTATCCAACTCAGTTGTACTTAAACTTATGGCTGAAACAGCTTATTTTCATATTCTGTATAGTTATAAATAACCTGCTACTATTTGACAATGTGTTCAAGTTGGGGGTTTTTTTCTTGTACTTTGTTATTATGAAAAAGTTTTGTATTTCACTTCTCATATTATTTACCTATGCGTGTAGAGGATAGTTTTGTTTTTTCTTTTTTCTTTATCGATGTAATGCCTTTATGATTTTTCAACAATTCTACAAATCACCAGTCATTTACATACTTCAATGTCAATTACACACACCCACATACATACATATACATACACACACATGCATATATATATTCCCAGTATCTATGCCTTTATATACATTCTTATAAGTAATGTGAATTATTTGTCTGTTTTCTAGTTCACATTGTATATTTATATTTGGTATGGAATACTTATATATTGTGGTTACCACTGGGTTTTTTTAGTCGTTTAGTTGTTGTATGTGCTTTTTTCTCATTTTTTTTCTTTTCATACATTATTATTCTTTTCCGTTCATTCTTCTTATCAATCATAATATTATACAATTACTTCGAGAAAAGTTTTATCATAATTGCATAGTTACTATTGATGATGTTTCTTTGGTTTTATAAGAAAGCTATAAAGCAACAAGTTTGAACTACTCAAAGATGTATTTTAGTAATAGACTTTTAAAATGGTACATTTTGTGTAAAGATTAAAAAATCGTTAATAAATGAAGTTAGTTGTTTTAGAGAAAAATATGTCAGAAAGTTAATGATTATGACGAAAATTGACATTTGAACATTACTTGAAGTATTTATTATGTAATTTTAATTAAATTTCATAAATTTAATATAGTTTAACTATTATAGTGTGGATTGTAGTAAAATTGTAATAATTCTAATAGTTGAATTCATATGTTGATCAAAGCTAGACCACCAGTGAAAAACGGAAAACACTGGATGACTGTTTCATCCTAACGTGTGGACTCCTCATCAGTGCGTATCCACAATCCCTTACATGAGACTCAAATCCAGGACATTTTGGTCTCAAACGTGAACATTTAACCTCTATACCACTGAGCTGGTATCTAAAGGTGTTAATGTCTGACTATTTATTAAGTTGGTTTTAAACTGTTATATAATTTTTATTCTTATTTTTTTTCCATCGCAAATTTAAATTCAGTAAAAGTGTGCGCAAATGTTTATATTTTTCTTACACTGAAATTTAAGGTCAACTATTGTTTTCTGGAATTTTTGTATTTTAGTAATGCACAAACTACTGAAGAAGCCAGCTATAAATTTATGTCTTCTCAGTTGAATATGAATATTTTAAACACTAAGAAAATAACCATAATATTTCATCGCGGGTATCGAATTGTTTTAGTTTGCAAAATTTTGATTGATGATACGATTTAAGTAACATCCTCGTTAATTTTGTATAACGTATGTCAACAAACGGGGAATTTACAAAAGTCAGCTTAATATCTACCAGTATTTCCGTAGTCACAGATTGCAATGATGTTAACTATATGTTTAAAAAATATCCTAATCAATAAATCTTCGCTCCAGACAATATGTAATCATCAACAGAATGTTAACTAATCAAGGGAGTCACAAACATTGGCCTCAGTAGATATAAAGCATTAATTCCAATGTTAGACAGTAAGATGAGAGAAACAAAAAATATTTCTTGAGGTTCTTACGTTTTTCTTGAATCAATTTTAACTCCATTTATTGAAATATAACTTATCGAAGATCTTACTAAGGATCATTGACATTGTTGTTTAAGTCAAATACAGTTTGCGAACTCACCTTAATAGTTCTTAGGTTATGCCTATATAAAGTTAAGGTATTTCGTTAATGTGACTTTCATCTTCTACAAATCAGTGACTACTAAGCACGTGTTTGACAGTTATTTAACAACTAACAGATTCATTTTTATTCTATTCATTCTTCTATTAAAAATAACGAGGACGAATCCTAATAAGAAATTGCATTTCATTTGTATTTTTACTTAAATACGTGTATACTTTTATATGCTTATTTGCATTCCCATTACTATGATATCAGAATAATTCTGATTCCATATTTACAGCTTACTGTATTCATGACTTAAGAATTAATGAACTTATTATTCTGATTAGCAATTTCACGACGAACGAGA